CATTCATCATCCAGCTGTCTCCTTGGATAAAATAGTCAGCACTTCTCATGCGAACAAAGGCTACTGTAAACCCTCTCTCCCAGTATGGAAGCAACAGGATTATCTTTCATTTGACCTTTGGTGTGACCTCCAGATAAGACACAGGCCATCCTCCTCCAACGACTCCACTTTCACACTCACATTTCCCCTCTTTTCTCTCTGATTATCTTACATGCCTCGTGACAGTTTAAGCACGCAAGACAGGTGTGGAGGTGAGTCAGTAAAAGTTCAACAAATATAAGCAGACGCATTTTGCTCACCTCTTGTTTTGAAGATGACATCATTGTTAGAAATTGGTCCCGAGTTCGAGTACCGTCAGACTAATGTGTAAAGAAGTAGTTTTTCCTTGAACTTGAGAGTAGAAGAACTAGGAGTGTCATCATTTCCCACGGGATCCCTCAAGGATCCTAAATAGGCAGAACATCAACCCCTTGCCATACAGGAATTTGACTCACACGCAGTGATTCTTGTGGAGAATCTCACTGCTGGCTGCAATACCATGCTGAGCTCCAGCCCAGCTGGTTTCCTCCAAAGCCACTTGGGACCTCTGAGCAAAGGCTTGCACGGGTCACCAGAGTTTATCGCACCAGAGTGATCTAAAAGTTGGCTATTAAACCTTGTCTTACAGTACATGATGTAAGTGATATGGCTTCAGATCTGACAAAGGGGGCTATAAAAAGAGCTGTTTTGGCCTTGAGGTCAGTCACCTGCTCAGGACACAGTGGTCATATCTTCCATGTTGATTGGCAAGCAGTTCTGACCTGCAGTGGTGCTCTACTCCTTTGTCTGCAGTGGAATGCATTCTTATGTTTACCAACATGTACTGCACATAGTCTTGTTCCGAGACTAAAAAACAAAACTACAGGGCAATGTACTTGCATTTATAGAGCACTTTTCTTACTGACCATATAAAAGCTTTAGATTTTCACCACACAACACTTCACTCAGTACACTTCATCTAGCTCTTATCAGCCACTTTTAAACCACACAAATTAACCTAAAGTGCTTATCTTTGAACTGTGGGGGGACAAGCTATACACAAATGGGGTCAGGGTTTTAACCAGGAGCTTTCTTTTTGCAAGTAAACAGTGCTCACCACTGTACACCATGACTCACAGTTAAATGAGAAATATTTTTATTTTGCTAGATTTGTTTGCAGTGAGTTTTTCCATTGTGTCAATCATTTTGCTTTCTATATAAATAAGGCCAGCAAGCCATCCAAATCCAAACATTCAAAATGTCATGAAGCCGAGAAGGGAAAGTCAAATCTTTCAGTGTGAAAGGAAATATTTTTCACACATGGGCGTTTTTACCGTGGCCATCATGTAAGATTCATTATTTTGCCGGTCGTGGCTTATAAATGACAAATTATAGAGCAAAATTCTTTCTTTTTTTTCAGTTTTAAATTTGGAATTGGAATTTTGAAATTTTGTTGCTTTATAAATTCACCGGTTGATATGGATGTCTATATGGGTATGTGGTCTGTGTTTAAACATGTATACATAAATAACTTGAATATGCGTTTTAAATGGTAGCCATCAGGTCTCATAATAGCCATCTCGAGTCTGTGGTCTACTGAGATACATACTTGCATTTCCCTTGGGAAGTTGGCGGCCCCAGGACAGCTCTGTCTCGTCTAAACCAAGAGCCCAGTTCTCACGACACCTGACCCAGAGCACATCCTGTGACCATACTGCAGTGTTTTGCTGTATGATCTATGAAGGAAGGGTAAATAGTACACATCATCATGAGCACTTCTGACAAACATTGTTCATTCCTGCATGTAGCTCTTAATCCTCATGATAACCATACAGGCCTAACACTTCCATCAGTGTGGAGGCCAGCATGTGGCTGTGTAGTGTTTATGTGTTTTTCCTCCCTCTGCTGGTCATTAGAAGAAGAACAACTCTGAAATTGTCCTTTTCTTTTTAGGTTTATGTATGCTGTCTCTCAGGGATCACATCATCTAAGGACATAAGCCACAAAGATCCGACTAAACCAGCAGCAGATGTTCAGACCAAGAAATTATCAACCTGTGTGAGTCGATCAGAGACAGCAGAATAAATGCGAGTGGTTGGAAGACAAGACATATTTCTGTTACTTATTTCTGTATTCTTTATAAAATGTGACATGAACAAATTTTTAAAGTGCAAAATCACTTCTTAGTTGAACTGCAACTCTGAGATATTCCTTATGTAATGTGTCAAAAGGGTCCACATGAAAAATAACTGGATCTGTTTGTCAGGAAGTTTAGAATTAGGAAACATAAATGTCAGGATTACAGTTCCATTTCTAATGGTCAACAAATAAATCTGTTTACCAGTGCCAGGTAAAGAGTAAGTATTATTTATTATTACACTTAAACATGCTTATTTATGTATTACATGGCTTCTATTTTAGCTAAATTTATTTATTTTATTTTATTTTATTTTAATTTATTTATTTATTTATTTATTTATTTTGGGGGGGGGGGGTTTTTTCAGCACCGTAGCAAGGCTGACAAAGAGTAGAAGCTCTGTTGAACAAAACATTCCTTTAATTTTGACCTGTAATGACTTTTAACCATTAGAAAGAAATACTCACAAACAATCAATATATAGCTACTTTCTGTACCACTGATATCTCTTTCAACTCTTTGTCTCAGAGTTAAATTCAGTGAAAGAGCCTTCAACGTGTTCATTAGACCCCATTCCTATAAGTCTCCTCAAAGATGTCCTATCATTAGTTAATCAGACTTAATTAATCATTAATCTATCTCTATTACTGGGCTGCTTACCACAGGTGGCAGTAGTTTTAAAACATTACTTTTAAAAAAGCCATCACTTGATCCAGCTGCAGGTATTGCAGGTACTGCGCAGCAGTGGTTTGAGTCATATCTATCTAATAGACTCCAATTTGTTCATGTAAATGGGGAGTCTTCTTAACACGCTAAAATTAATTATGGAGTTCCACAGGGTTCAGTGCTAGGACCAGTTCTGTTTACATTATACATGCTTCCCTTAATATCAGAAGGCATAGCATACTTTTTTTTTCACTGCTATACAACCGATACCTAGCTTTATCTGTCTGTGAAGCCAGATGTCAGACACCAATAAGTTAAACTGTAGAAATGTCTTAAAGACACAAAGAGCTGGATGACTTTTAATTTTATACTTAATTTGGATGGCATTACCTTGGCCTCCATTAACACTGTGCCAAGAATTACCTGAAAGGCCTTCAGTTGATCCAAAATGCTGCAACAAGAGTACTCACAGGGACTAGAAAGAGAGAGCAGATTTCTCTCATACTCACTTCCCTTCATTGGCTTCCTGTTAAATCCAGAATTTAATTTAAAATCCTTCTCCTCACATACAGGGTCTTAAATAATCAGGCCCCATCTTATCTTAATGATGTGATAGTACCACTTCATTCTGAGACTGCAGGCTTACTTGTGTTTTACTAGGGTATTTTAAAGGTAGAAAGCCTGAAGTTATGCTTAAAGCTGTCCTTTTTGACAAAGAATACACTCTTTGCTGTAGCTTTTTGTAGGGTTTGACTCTTAGTAGCATGCTTCATTTTGTTTCTCTGTGTGAAGTTGTTTCCAGTTTGCTTGTGTTTCATTTTATTTTATTTACTTTATGTTAGGGCTAGATCAGGTGACCCTGAATACTCAGCAATAGGCTTGGGCTCTAAGGGAGTATTTTCCTCCCCATTGATGCCAAGTGCTTGCTCTTAGGGAGTTATCTTACTCTGTATTATTGTAGGGTCTTTACCACGCAATATAAAGTGCACAGAGGCAACTGTTGTTGAAATCGGGTGCTGTATAAATTGAATTGAATTGAACTGACTGCTGTACTGTGCCTGGAACCTTGCATACTGCAAGGTTCTCCAGCCTGTGGGTAAACTTACTTCACTAACTGATATGACAACAGACTCTTTGGCACTTTATGACCTGACTGTCACTCTATTTGAACTGAGTAGATGTAACAGTTATTGACACAAGTGAGGCCATTTAAGCAGGTATACTGTTAGATGGCACAATGTTGGACCTGCAGAGTTCAAATGAACATGTTGTCACGGTTCTGGGTCATTTGACACAGCATGTCGGTTTCTTGTATTTTGGTATTTATCTGTATAATGGTCGATGTTCTGATTCTTTAGTTCTCCTGTTTTGAACATTATAATCTATGTTTCAGTTTATTCTGGTTTAGGGTTTTGTTTTCAGGTTGTGTTCTTGTGTTTAATGTAGGTTTAGTTCAGTGTCAAGTCAGCGTCCTTGTGAAGTGCTTCTTGTTTCCTGTTTTATTATGTAGGTCCGTGTCTCATGTGAGTGTATTCAGTTTGCTTCCCCTGTCTCATCTTGTCAATTACTTCCAGCTGTGTTCGCCACCTGTGTGTAATCTCCCTGTGTTCTTCTGTGTGTATTTAAGTCGTGTCTGCTCGCGTGCTAGTTGCTGGTCTGTCTGTCAATCAGTTTCATCCGTTTGTTCTCCCTGCTATCTAACTTCATGTTCCTCCGCTCACCCATGTTCATGTTCAGTAGTTTAGTTTTTCCCAGTTCAGGTTATCTTTAGTTCTGTTTCACATTTTCACCTTGTGTTTTATTTTTACAGTAACTCTCCCTCACACCTCCATGAGTGCGCTTGGATTTAATTCCTCCACACGGCTCATCCCATTCGCCATAACACATGTTTTGTATTTGCATATACCCACAGACATGAGCAAAGGGAAGTTACTCACTGGTTTTTATTGTCATCACCAAATCGATCAGACAGGCAAATATACTATATCAGAGTATACTTTGGCTTTTGTTCTCATCAAATCCAGCACCTGGCTTCTTAAACATGTTAAATTGACAAATACATTAACCCATAATAAATAAATAATCTTCAAATTGGCAAATAAATAGTTAAATAAGTTAATAAATATGCAAATACATCATGCAAGTAACCAAGCCATCTGAGATAAATCAAGAGCTTGGTGATATATCAAATGATAGTGATGTGTAAATTATTGCAATTTATAAAAAGAATATAAAATATTTTGCATTTGTAATCAACACTGATATGAAATTTTCTACATGTTTCCTGAAGAATTTACTGTGAGGTTATTGCTTATGTCAAAAGGCAGGATTTTGATACATGCATTTGAAAAGTCTGAGAAGTCGCGAGCCGTCGTCTGACTTAGATATTTGAACTAGAAAAAAAACATATAAAGAAGAAAGGATTTTCCTTTCAGTCCTCAGAGCTGCAGTCACCCTCTGTTGACTGCCCTTTGAAGCAGGCCGACTCGTAATGCTTGTTCAGGTAGGATTTGAGCGCGAAGCTTTTACGGCAACGTTTGCAGGAGTAGTGTTTGAACGCTGAGTGCGTCTGCATGTGGGCACGCAGATTGGAGCGGTCAGCAAAGGCTTTGCCACAGTGAGCGCAGGCAAACGGTTTCTCCCCAGTGTGAGACCTCATGTGACCCTGCAGGAGCCAAGGCCGGCTGAAAGCTTTGCCACACACCTTGCACTCGTGCTTCATGTCATGGGTCAGCATGTGCATGGCCAGAGCCGGCATAGACACATAAACTTTGTGGCAGGTAGGACATTTCCTGGCCTGCTGGCTGTCCAGACTTCGGTGAGTCTGCTTGTGCCTACTCAGATTGGAGGATGTGGCGTACGACTTGCCACACTCGCTGCACACGTGACGTCCTTTGGATTCCCCTTTGGCGGGGCTGCAATCTGTTGAGCTGCTTCCCTCGCTGCTGTCCAAATGGCTCCCTTCCATGTGAGAACATCTCTGTTTAGGCCTCCGGCGCGAGCGACCATCAGAGATGAGAAAGCCACTGATTGTGCACGCCTCCGTTTCAGGGCTACTGCCGTCCGACTCAACTGTGGTGCTAGAAACGGGGCTGTCCGGATCTTCCATGTCGTGGTCAGAGAACTCTTCCCCGCTGCTGCCCCCTGGGGAGTACAGGGGCCCTGCTGTGAGCCCAGTCTGCTCATGACTTGACTCCTTTGTGCGCTTAAACACTGACGGGATGATGTAATCCTGGATGTACCCTGGGAAAGAAAATACATATTTAATATAGACTCTAGAATTACTACATGGAAAAGAAAAGTGCCTTCTTACCCCAACCTCAATATGAAATCTATTCAGGAAACTATTTGTAAGTGCCAGCTTTAGCAAGCTCTAAGACTCAAATATTAATGAATCTGTGATGCACCTTTCTGATTCAGTCGATATTCTCAGTGGCTCCATTGAGAGCAATCACAAAGTTAAATAAATGAAAACACAATGTGCTGACTCTGAATCAAGAGTCAGGCACGTATAGTGCAAGCCAGCCTGGACCTTCTTGTCAGAGTGCTGCAGCTGCAGCAGCAGCAATCTGTCTAAATGTGTTTTGGAAGAAGGAACGGGTGGGGAGGGATGATCAAAACAGAGCATCTATGCAGTGAATCCCCTCAATCACTAAATCGTTTTAATCAGATCATTCCCCATCTGTGATGTTTGTGAGAGTGTTCATGAGTATGGTAATGGGGAGACTGAGTGACAGGTGGGGGTCTGCAATTTGGCAAAGAGGGAAGGGAGGGTTGGAGAGTGTTTTGTGGGTATGGTGGGGGTTGGTGGGGGTTCTGATCTTAGCAGCAGTCAGTGGTATATTGCCACACACACAAACACACACAAAATGGAACACAAAGGGAAGCAGACAGCTGGCATCCTAAATCTGAGGACAAATTATTCAACTCTAACACAAGACATGTGATGTTGGTTGTGGGTGAAAAGGGGGGAGGGGGTAAATCCACTCAAAGAATACTTTTTTATTTCTTAAATCTAAACACACAACATATTGTTCTCACACCCAGCCTCTGTAGAAATCCCACAGGTGAAAATCTCCTCTGCCAGTGCACAGCTCAAGTTTCACTTTATTGAATTACCTGCAGCACTCTCTATTTTCCAGTCAATACCCATCCTCTAAAAACCCTGTTCCATAACCTCTCACTGCTCCACATATGGATTGTGTTGCTGCAATCCTACTCCCTCTGGCTATCCAACATCCTGCAGGATCAGATGGAGAGAGATGGAGAGATGAATGGGCAGGTGGGGGGGTGATAAGAGGAGAGTCAAGGGCAACGGCACCATCTAAGGACACGACAATCCCACGTGGCTATCTGCTTTCGTCTGAGTTTTTATCTTTATTTTCTTGTTGGACCTGAGAAATGTCTGCATCAGTGTCTCCGCGTGTGCACGGCTCATCATTCACGTACACAATAGTATTAAAGCCAAAGGCTGCTGTGTGATCTGGTCTGAGTATTAAGCCGATTTAGCCAGCATGACCTGAATACTATTTAGCATCTGCCGAGTTAGAAAACAAAAGTCCAGAGCCATTTGAAGTAGGTGGGTGAGCACTGGCTACAGGGTTTTGGGGGTTTCCAAAAGTGATTATATAGGAAGCACGACGTAGCCCCTTTGTGTATAAATCCCTGTTTATTATTTGTTTGAGGAATATTTTTTGCCTCTTCCTCCTTGTGAGGAAAACCATGTGAAACACTTTGTGCAGACAAATCAGTCTACAACCTACACAGCAAAGTAGAAAACGCAACTCAGAGAGACATTTACTCACTGTTTTCACTCAGATGCACGGCCAAGTTGGTGGATGACTCAGTGATGGCATGTGTCACGGTGTACGAGTCATCCCAGTGCTGCTCCTGCTGCTGATGTTGATGATGATAGTAGTGGTTGGAAGAGGAGAAATCGTGAATCTTTGGCAGTTTCACCAAAAAGGAGCGTGGCATTTTTATTTTCCCCTGATGAAAAAGTGATCTAAACCTCCTAGAATAAAACGCAAACACGCAGTTGAACAGGAAAAATAAGAAAAACTACGCTTCCAGGTGGCCTTCTTGGAAAGGCCAATCAGCTGAGGATGCTGGAAAAAAATCTTTTTGGAAATTATTCAACGCCAAAAGAGAAAGAGAAAAGAGCAGCAAAGACAGAGCATAGCACAGAGTGGATGGAGAGGAAGACAGAAAGTGGTGAGGGTGAGACAGAGGCACACACACAGAGAAAGAGAGAGAGAGATGTCTGGACTAGCTGAGCTCAGCACTCTGCAGTCTTTTATACATGGCCCACGAGCCCCAAAGATCAGGTGGTGCTTTGGAAGAGGGAGCTGCTTAGCATTAATCCATCAAACATCCCAAGGGACACACGTCAAATTACCACGAGCCGTCTGTGCTTTTCCCTGCAAGCGCACTCACACACATGCACATACACACTCACAGCAGTCAACCACCACCTCCTCGTCTTCCCACCCACATCCCCCTCGTTTCGCCCCTCTGTCTCTGTCTGAAGAAGGGCAGACAATAGTGATGCAGAAGCACGTGGGTGACACTACACACAACATCTTGTCCTCCATTGTCTTTCAATGAAGTAGCTAACATAATTCATACTGCCTCAAACATATTTCACCCAACCTACCAACAACAGCATCCGCATATCCGGCTCGTTACTGAAATGTCAAACTGGAGTGACATGCTCCTAGCATCAAAATGGCTCTTATATATCAATCTATATCTATATCTATATATAGATATCTATATCTATAT